TATAATCTAAAAATGCCACTGGCTCAGCACCCGATTCCAAAATATCATTGGCACACATGGCAAATAGATCATAACCGAGATTCTCATAGGTACCCAAAGACAAGGACAACTGGATTTTTGAACCTACACCATTGGTGGCCTCACATATCACCGGATTTTTGTAGTCCAACTAAAAAATTCGGAAATTCAGAAATTTAAAAAAAAACTAAGAAATTTTTCCATACACCCCCTTACCTCCTTTAAACGGAACAGACCACCAAAACCACCCAAGCCCCCAATAACACCTGGCCTATGAGTACCACGCGACAATGGTTTGATACGTTGCACCAAATCATCACCCGCATCTATATCCACACCGCTATCCTTATAGGACAATGAAGGTTGTGTGGGTTTTTGGCTAAATAAAATAAAAGTAGATTGGGAATTTTTAAAAAAATATTAGTACAAAATTTTTATTCAATTTTTTGTTTTTGGAAATTTCATGAGATAATTACAATTTAAAGGCCTTTTCAGCAATATCAGTACGGAATTGAGCTCCAGCTCCCGAAAATTTGATGTTCTGGCATATTTTGGTTGAATCTTGGGCAGCTTGTTTTAAATCCTTGCGCAGAGTGACAGCAATCAAGACACGACCGCCATTGGTGACAAATTTTCCATCGGCATTAACACCCACACCGCTGTGGAATATGATCTGATCGGAAGTATTGGCTGGGATACCTGAAATGAAAAAAAGTTTTTGGATGTCCATTAGCTTAAAAGGAAACGGTCCGTTGTCTCTGAGATAATGACCGGTATGTTCTATTATCTCTGATATAATGACCTATTGGGTTCATTACCTCCGATATCGTATACATTGTCTCTAAGGTAAAGACTGTTTAAGTCCAATATATCTGATATAAAGATGCATTATATCTGAGATAATGGGCGGCTAAGTCAATTATCTCTGAGAAAATAGCAGGTTAGGGGCATTATCTTTGAGATAATGGCAGGCAAGGTGCGTCAAATTTGAGATAATGGTCAGCTAGGCCGTGTAAGTCCGTTGTATCTGAGATGATGGCAGCTTAGGTGCATTATATCTGAGATAATGGCAGGTTAGTTGCATTATCTCTGAATGGCCGATTAGTTGAATTATCTTTAAGATAATGACCGGTTAGTTGCATTATCATTGAGATAATCCTGGTTAGTTGTATTATCTATGAGATAATGACCAGTAAACTGCTTTATCTTTGAGATAATGGCCGGCTAGGAACATTATCTCTGAGATTATGACCAACTAGGTGCTTTATCTTTGAGATAATGTCTGGATATGTTCATTATCTCTGAGATAATGGTCGGCTAGTTGCATTATATCTGAGATAATGGGCGGCTAGGTGCATTATCTCTGAGATAATGACCGCTAGGTGGAGGTAATTACCGACTAGGTGCATTATCTCTGAGATAATAACCGACTAAATGCATTATCTCTGAGACAATGTTCGGTTATCCATTATCTCTGAGAAAATTTGCGGTTAGATACATTCTCTTAAGATGGTCGGTTAGGTCTTTTGTCTCTGATATAATGGCTGCTTAGGACCATTGTCTCGGAGATAAAGATAGGTTAGGTTCGTTATATGTGAGATAATGGCCGATTAGGTCCATTAATAAAATATCAAATCACATTTTAAAACCGGTATTCACTTACCTTCAATAACACATCCTTTAGTCGATGTCTCGGGATAACCAGCACTGGCCATAACCACACCGACAGCACTCAACCCAGTTCTCCACTTCAAATTGACCTCCTTCAATTTATTGTGGCAGCAGGCAACCATAACCTCAAACAAATCACAATCCAGCAGGGGTAGAATAACCTGTGTCTCCGGATCACCAAAACGGCAATTAAATTCCAAAACTTTAGGACCATCGGGTGTCAACATCATGCCAGCATATAGGACACCTTTATAATCAATACCCTCCGATCGAAGGCCATCGACCGCTTGTTGCAGCACCTGTTTCTTAACCATTTCCAAAGCATCGGCGGTAATCAAAGGACATGGGCAATAAGCACCCATACCACCGGTATTGGGTCCTTCATCTTTCTCCTTTAAACGTTTGTGATCTTGGGCCGGTAACATGGCCTGAACACCATGATTGTCAACAAATGCCAAAACGGATACCTCCTCACCGCTCAATAGCTCCTCAATAACCAAGGTTTCACCAGCTGAGCCGTATTTTTTGCTACCTAAAATTTCATCAACAGCTTGACAGGCTTCTTCGGCATTGGCGGCAACCACAACACCTTTGCCAGCTGCCAAACCGGCTGCCTTCACAACCAAAGCTTTGTAGGGAGCACTGAAAATGAGAACACAAATTAAAATGTGATTTCGAATGTTTAAGATTTCGAACTTACTTCTTAATAAATTCCTTGGCCTTGGCACAATCGGTAAACGATTCATAACGTGCAGTTGGTATATTGTTGCGTATCATAAAATCTTTAGCCCATTTTTTGTCAGCTTCAATCTGGGCACCCTTTTTACCCGGTCCGAAGCAGGGGATACCAGCATTTTGCAAAACATCACCCAAACCATTGGCCAAGGGATCCTCGGGACCCACAACAACCATATCGATTTTATTTTCCTTGCACCATTTTGCAATTGCCTGAAATGAAGATAATAGAGAATAAATTATTAACATAGGAACTGGAGAAAAGGAAGAGAATGTCAATCATTGATAAAGGAACCTGGTTATAAGGACAACATAATTATAATGAATAAAAGATGAAATTGGTAAGTGATAGCCCAGTATTTTACATTTTTTTCTTTGCGCCCAAAAGTATGCTCATTATAATTTTTTGAAATAAAACTCTATGGTTAAATTGAAGTGTAGATGGCGCTGCCAACAAAAATGGCTCAAATTTATAAAAATGCTGTAACTCATTTTATACCCTCCATACGTTCAAAATAACTTAAGTTTTTGATGATATTTCTATGGGGCTATGTCGTTAAAAATGTGTACCTTGAACATACCGAAAATGACCGGGACCTTTATATGTGGAATATGTTAACTTTTTCTGGCGAATAAGTTTTGTACCTGAGGGATTTGATCTGAGGGATGCACTATTTTATACATCACGAATTCCACAAAAAGGTCAACCACACAGGTGAAAAATCATTTCGTTAAGAGAGATATGAAATTATATAGGAAATATTCTTTGCAATCCGGACAATATATTTTTAGTTGAATTTTGAAAAATAACAGTAGTTTTTCTTTTCGTTGTACCATTTTCGCGTGGAGAGTAACTTGGGCATATTTTTATTAGTTTTAGAGTGTCATTTGTCGTAGGTGTGAACGCTGTTAGCTAAAACAATATCAATAATAAATATTAAATTCAAATAAAGTAATATCTTACTAAGAATTACATTTATATAAACCTATACATATACCAAGAGAATCCCGTGGTAAGTGCAGTTAAATAGTGTAAGAAAATATGTAACGCGTGCGTGACAAAATTAACATATGTTTCTATACAGACTCTAATATGAGAAATTTTTTTTTGATAATGCTGTTATGTGTGGATCTTGAGATGACAAACTCAAATAAAACAAAGTTTGTCTTCTATCTCCATCGAACAAATTTGTATCCGTCACGCACATGTTACATTCTTCCTCAATAAGTTGCTTTAGAACCGAATTTACAGGCAAAAATATCGTCCATAACTGCATAATGATATACCAAAAGGTCTTGGGGCCACACAAAGCTATAATATCCTGACAACATAGTTGTGTCGGGTATAAGAACTAGCATTTTTAAAACATTTTGTTTTGAATTTAATTTTTTTAGTACATGTGTGTGTAACAGTGTGTTACGAGTGTAACATGTGCGTGACGGTGTTCAAAGTTAAAAAAGTATATCTTAGAAAATTTTTTCTCAAAAAAATTGAATGTCAATATAATCTTGAATAACCCATTATAGCTGTAAAAAAAAATCCGCAATTTTATCTCCAGCCAATTCGCAGAAATTTCATATCGAAACTGATATCCAATTTTTAAAGGGAAAATTTTGTAGCGCGTGCGTACGCTAATTTTTTCTTAATATCTCCGACATTTACAAACATATTCATAAAAAAATTAGCAGGTATTGTAAAAGGTGTAAAACTATTTAATAAAAATTGCGAAAGAAATTTCGGAAACGAATTTTTCTTAACTAAACAAACGATAATGTTTCGCACGCTGTAACAGTGCGTGACATGGAATTCGTGACATATCTTCACTTTTAAGCGATTGGTTATCTAAAAATTTTTTCTTCGTATGTGTAAACGCCGATGGAAATTTTTAATCAACAATGGCGGTCGTGTCGTGATTGCTGTCACTCTGCGCAAGGATTTAAAAGAAGCTACACAGGATTCAACTAAAATATGCCAGATTATGAAATTATAGGGAGCTGGAGCTCAATTCCGTACGCGTGGTACACATAGGCCAAGTGTTATTGGGGGCTTGGGTGGTTTGTTCAGTTTAAAGGAATGGGAGCGGACAATTTTCTCAGTTTTTTATTTCTAATTTTTTTGTTAACTTTTTTAGTTGGACTACAAAAGCCATATAATATGTGAGGCCACCATAGGCGTAGGTTAAAAAATCCAGTTGTCCTTCTTTGGGTACCTATGAGAATTTGGGTTATGATCTATTTGTTATGTGTTCCAATAATATTTTGGATTAGTGTGCAGAACCAGTGGCATTTTTGAATAACATGCGCAAATTGTTAAGGGTTTATCAGAGGGTTGTCCTGCTAGCAAATGTGCTTTGTAGTGTGAGTTTAAATGTCCAAAAAAGGATTTAAAAAAAATAAATTAATTTTTCTATTTACATTTTATTTTGAAAAATGTGATGAAACTGTCGAAATGCCTTCGGTGTATAAAGTCGGTAAATATGATATTATTGGCTATTGTGGAAATGGGTAAGAAATTACCCAAATATGAAAATTACGAAGAGGGTTATTTATTGATTTCATGGCCATCATCGGGTCTACACTGTGGCGATTATAATACGGTGCTAACATGTCTACAAAATTAGGGTATTTATCTTATGGAAAGATCCGAATTTTGGTGATACAGACAAAACATTGGGTTATGTTTAACACTCGTCCCCCCGAAGCCTACATTTAAAACAATTATTTTTTAAGGTGAAAATTTCGCTGAAGTTGAAGTCTTACAATTATTGGGCAGCGATACTGTAGAAGCCGTGACCCACATTACATACGGATTAGTTCCAAATATGGCACGAGTTTTACTCTCCAAACTGAAATTGCTTTGGATATCGGCGATCTCAATGTACGCAAAGTATATGCGTGGTTGGCAGTCCGTCTAAAGCTATCGGAAGAAACTCTGCTGCAAACCCTGTTGATTGTGAATACTGAAAAGCGAAAGGAATCATTGGTGGCCCATAATGGTAGACGTTTAACGGGGGTGCCCAAAACATTCAAGGATCCCATTCTGATTATGGGTGTCCTAAAACATTCCGTTCTAAAATTTCCATTTTACTGATCACTACAGGGGATTTGCTAAACCATATTGGAAAAGCGTAGAGTAATACCGGCCGGATACCGATTTTGCATAAAAGTAGCTTAGTTTTTGTAAAAAGATCTTTATTTACTAAAATTTCAGAAAACGATCCTAGTGCTTTATATGCTCTCACCAAAACTTGCCTCGCTTGTTTTTTAAAATTTTAGTAGATTATTAAAAATAATTCCTAAGTACTTCATAGTTCCTATTGGAATTTCAACCCCATTAAAAATCAGTTTTAGGTTTTTACTTTCCGGAACTACAAATTTTCTACATTTCCCGGACGCATTCCGTACACAAATGGCCTAGGGTTTGGAAGGATTAATAGAAATACCCCAATTAAAATAAAATTGATCTAATTTCTCTAAAATGTGTTTTACTTTATTTAACGCAGTATGGGGGTGATTCATTGTGGGCATACAACAATGAATCGTCAGCATATAGAATTCCAGTGGAGTAGATATCACTATGGGGGAAATCATACATAAAAATGCTGTATAAATGCAGTGATAAAATAGATACTTGCGGGACACCGCAAATAACGTTATCTGGGTCAGATAAAATGTGGTTAAATTTTATACTAAACTTCCTATTTGAAAAGAAACTTTGGAAGAGTTTAATAACAAACAGATCAATGTTGAGCTATTATATGGAGGATACCTAAGTCTGATGCATGATCAAAAACTTTTTCAACATCAAGTGAGATCGCTACCGTACATGTTCGTTCTCGTTAATTATTAACAACATCATTATAAAATTTAAGAAGCACATCGGTCGTCGAATCACTTGTTTTAAATTCAAATTGAAGTTCTGGGATATGCGATGTTCCTATCCCGTAATCCATCTTTATGCGCATAATTCACTACAAAGTTTTACTTAGGCTAACAATTTCTTCAATAGTCGTTAGGATTTTCATTATCATTAAGAACCATACAGCAACATTTTCCGATAATTTATTAATATATGACTTACGCTTGTAACCAACGATATACTTGGATCAGACCTGTCTCCAGTTCGGTTAAAAATTATTTTCAAATCCCGTTGCCATATATATTTTATTTTATAAAGATTTTAAATTTCATCTGAAACTATAATTTTCCTTCCTAAACGTACATTTTCCGAATACGTGGTGTTGGCTTTATTTATTACATTGGAAAATTTGTCTATATAATAATTTGTCTCAAAATTGTAAAGATTATTTTTTGAATCTGGGAAGTTAATGAACAAATCTTGTTTAATATCATTTCCAAAATTATCCCAATTTGTATTTTTATAAGAAGTGTAGCATCTGGGTGAGTTTAACAGAATAGATATTGACAATAATTTTAAATGCACTTGAACAGGGAAATAATCTGAAAATGTTGGTAAATTAATTTTTAAATGCAGTTGAACAGGGAAATCATCTGAAAATGTTGGTAAAGTGTTAATTTGAACGTTTGGTACTACTGGATCTATCAATTTTGTGCTTATAATATAATCAAGAAATGAAGCTCCATTTGGAAAAGAAGGTACTGAATCAGAAATTCGTGAGAAGTCTGCTGACGATTGCTGTCTGTGTTCAATTGGACGATGAATTGGTCGAAGAAATTGTGAATGGTGTAAAGGAGGGTGCCCGACAATCGGGGCAAGTTTAGTGGGTGACTCGGAAACTAATAATCCAATCCGTTCCAAATTTCAAGACGTTATTCTGGAACAACATAGCTATCGTATGAACTAGGATAAAGACATCGGTGAAGATCTTCCCTATTTTGCCTTAAGTTTCAAAGGTAGGCCCAATATAACCGTACCCCCTACTAACGAATTTGATATAGATTGACTCTCTTTGGTTAAATTGTAATAAAATGAAACATTTTTGAAATGAAACTGTCTTTTTTTATTTTTTAAATAACTGTAACGAGAAAAATCATGTAAATTAATACAATTGAAATTTGGCATCAAATATTTCAACGAACATACATATTTGAATTAAAATTGAGAAGGATGTTAAAACTTCCCACGTACACGAAATTATTTTGACAATTTATGACTAATTAGTTGCTACAATAAATTTCGCATCTTTGGAGAAAAAACATTCAAAAACAACGGTAATAAATAAGCAATTTTGGTTAACATCTTTACAAACACGGACAGGTTTAAACGATATAAACAATCATACATATATAAATATTATATTAAAACGATCGGCAGGTACAGCAAACTTATAAACAGCATGAATTGTCATAGTCGAATTGCATCGGAAATTCCCAAAAACAATCAACATTTTTATGACACTTTGTCATCTAAAAAAAAATGAAATATTCACACATACTATAATTTTTTATGATGCTAATAGAGTGGAACATTATCGAGATGATGCTGCTGCTGAATGAATGAAATCACTTAAATAATATTTAAGAATTTGTCAAGTTAAGCCGATTATTTCGAAAAACTAGACTAGTTGAAGAAAGGTATTTTGTTATAAATTTAGCTTAAGAAACTAATGCAGCTTAAAAGCAACAATTTATATTAAAATTATGCAAATTTCTAATTTTCTTCAAGATCAAGGTCTAGACATCTTTCATTTTTTGTTTGTTTTTGATTTAAACCCCTTTTATGTTTTAAATGTGTAATTTGATATGCAAAAACTATAAATCTTTGTTATGCTACGCACTAAAAAGTTCATTGGTCTTTAGTTTTCATTTAGTCTATCATCGGTAACATAATCTCCCCCGCTACTACTTTTTCGAGCATCATTTAATATTGTTGGACTTCCGTAAAAATGTTATGCTATCTCGACATAAATCAGATTGAAATACGAGAGATAATTGTGTATAGCCCAAAAAGGTATTACAAATGAAATATTTTACGTTCCACTCCCAAAATTCCAAACAAACGAGATCGATGATCAACGTAAAAAAAACAAATACTTTCCACCCAAACCATCTTTCAAATTTGTTTATTATTATTATTTTTTTTTCATTACTATTTATTTCAAAAGAGGAGAAATAAATTTCTGGTTTATTTTTAAGAAATAGGTTTATGATTTCTTTTTTGTTTTATTACGCAGATGGGGAAACATAAAATGGTTGGTGAATAAAAACAAACCTGCAAAACTTTTTGAAAGTACTTATAGTGGCTCAAAACAAATCAATTTTTACAATTTGTGTAAACCAAATAATTTGTGCAGCTATCATGAAGTTCGAAGAAGGATTGTCATGAGAAATCTCTGGAAATTATTTATGCTAGACACCCATCAATCCATCATCCAGACACATATCATATTAATCACTTTGTATCTTTTTCTTCTTAAAATATTTAGTTTCATTTTGTTTGATTTGATTTTTATCGTTTAACCATTTAATTTGAATCCAGAATTCAAGTTAACTCCAAAACACACATTAAACTAATTACCAAAATTTATCGCCAGAACATTTATAGGTGGTTTTCAAATTGATACACACAAAAGGAGCGTCTAATGAAATGTTAAATGCTAACAACATTTGTTTAAGATCTCAACCCAAATAAGAAAACAACAACAAATAAGCATAACAAATACTGAAATTAATAAAAAAAATATTAGAAAATTAATACACTTGAAGAAATTTTTGTGAAAAAAAAACAAAAAATCCTTATTGAAAATATTCTATTGGACAACTTCCATTATAAAACAATTGTTATCGATCTTATTTTTACACAGAAATAGTATTATCAGACAACTATTACTATAGAAAAGTTTGCCCAGTACTAGTTAATGTTAAAATTTTCTTATAGAAAAGTATAGCAGCTCGTGAGCAGAGTTGGTATGGCTAAACAATAAAATTTGAATGAATACTTTTACTCCTTGTTTAGAAATTAGTTCCAGATTATGATCTTAGTCCATCAACTTGAGCAAGCGTGGTTATTGGTCTTAAGCTTTCCATATATGCTAAACGAATGAGAGTCACAGTGAATTTTCGTTTAGTCAAAATTTTAATTACATAGGATAAATAGCTTAAACCTAACATCGTTCTATAAACAAACTAAACATATACGTACTAGCCTACTTTGATTCTTAACATAATAGTGCAAGAGCGTGCTGTGTACAGTGACTTCATTCAAATTAAATTCAGCTTAGGTACTACTTATGAGAAGCCAGATCCTTATCTAGTGGTTGCACAAAAAGGTATTAGAATCAGAGATGTAATTTTATGGTACTATTTACAGAGTATTTGCTATAAAAAATCTTAGAATTACCAAAATCAGTGAAAACTTAAGATAATTCTTCAGCAAACACATTCGTAAAAAACCGTACGCAAAATAAAAAACCAAATAGTGGTATTTTTCCGACGAAAGCATGGATCAATATACATTTCAATTTCAATTATTTTTTATTAATCCAAAATTAAAAAATTATCTAGTATAAAATATGTACATTACAAGATTTGAGATTTATCAAAAAGATTTACAACAAATACAGTAGATATCGGATATAAGCAGATCTCAAATAAGAAAAAATCGCTTATAAAAAAGATTATCAAAAACACGGAATCTTTTTACATCTCATCAGTGTAAAAATTGCTTCATATAAGAAAAACGCGTATAAGAAAAACACTGATATAAGAAATGTTTGTCAAACACCAAATCTGACAAAGGTATTAGAAAACGTTTCATATAAGAAATTATGTAAGATTGTTGACCAATTTATTAACATTGAAAATGTTTTAAAAAATAAAATACTTTTTAATTGTATTTAAAAGAATATTATTGATATGAATAGAAACATATGCACCTATTTTTAGTCAAACTGTGAACTGATTTTAATTCAGTAATTTTGTACTTTTATAAGCTCTTCTTGAACGTCTGTAATGAAGTAGGGAAACGTAGCCTAGCGCAAACATCGATTTCCCATATAACGCTACCTGGCCATTTATGACACTTTGACAGTTTTAGCCGCATTTTCATAACACAGTGGCTATAATTTGGCATTATGGGTTCTTGGAGACTGAGAAACATATTCATAGAAAATATTCGACATAAGTCCTTTTTTACGATACCCTACACCAACGAACATTATAGGCGTTGTCCTAGACCATAACTGGCACTTCATGGAAAATTTCAAAGGGATCAGCCAGAACCACTGAGTTTAAAAATTATAATGGACAGACGGACGGAACTCATATCTAGATTGATTCATCTAGTCGAGATATGACGATCGGTATTCTTAAAGGTGGGTCTAGGAACAATATTTGCTATAATATCCTGACAATATAATTGTGTAGGGCATAAAAATAGTAAAAAATTATGCTAAACCACATTTAAATCCATATTAAAAATACCAGTATTTTAGGTTAGGTTTGTGGATGTGCAGCCATCGATGTGGCTGCAGCACTCTGAGACCGTCCAGTTCATTGTGATCATCCATGATCGATATGGACAGAAAATATATTAAGTGCGAAGGTTGCACTTTCCCAACCACTTTCGGTTTCTAATGATGCTGTAGATTAAAGCAGGTTCCATAGTTGAACAGAAGCTTAGACACGGTGGAAAGTGAGCACCCCCTAGTCTGTGTCGTCTGTAGGCCAGGGCTAGACAGCGGCACAGGAGATGCTCAATTGTATCCGTCTCCTCATCGTCAACACAGAGTCTGCAATAATCAGTAACAACATGGTCCCGCTTACTAGTAAAGGCCCTGATATTGCAATGACCAGTAATGACTCCTGTCATTACTCTAATTTCAGCTTTGCTCAGGTTAAACAGTGAGTTTGTTCTCTTGGTTGACAGAGTCGGCCAGATCTTGAAACATTGTACCTAGGTTTGTTGTGCCAGAGTTCATTGGCTCGTTCGTCGAAGAAAGCCTCAAAGTTCCGAAAAAGATGGCAGATGGGTCATCTTTTTCGGAACTGGCTAATTCGTCTGCCTTTTTATTACCCATAATGTTACGGTGTCCTGTTACCCAATACAGCTGATAGCTGTAAGTGTTTCCAAAGCTGTTCTACACTGGAGGACGACCTCATATTTGATATTACTGGATTTGATGGCTTTAAGAGTCGCCTGACTCTCCACAAAGATAGTCACCGGTTCCACGATATTTGCATCCAGAATTTTTATCAATTCCGCTGCCTTCCAGATCGCGAAGATTTCAGCTTGAAAAAACTTGTAGGTTGTAGGCTTGTAGGTTAGCTCAAGGCCTAGCTTTTCACAGTAGATGACTCCCCCGAACCTTCTTCCATCTTGGATCGCCTGTATAAAAAGCCAGACCGTCTAGAGCAGTGTTGCTACGGTTCCTGTCGTCTCTACTAGGGATAACGACATCTACAAATCAGGACTGGTGATATATAGTCGTTTAGTTTTACACGTTGGTCTAATGTAATACCTAGTTCGTTCAGGATACATCCATGCCCGAAGGTACAATTTCGCCATAGATTTTGTTCATGCAGCCTTAGGGCACTACGCGTTGCCTGACACTTAATACCGAAGACCCAGAGGCCTTAAGTTCAGCATTGCGTTCAGAGCTGCTTGTGAGGTGCTCCTCGCCACTGATCATGGCATTTTGAAATTTATTTTCGATTAATGTGTGTTTTCTCTGTGTACCATACAACATTCCAGACGTTCCTTTATTCCAGTGTGACTAAGCGAGGTGAGCAAAAAAATCTTCTCATAACAACATCTATTGTCGTCAATCTAAACTAGTCTAATGTTAGACGGGCGACGTGACATTGAAATGTGTGATCACCACTCCAGTTGGAGCTAAAATAGTGCGGGTGATGTTCTTCTTAGGCATTTTTTGTTTGTTTGTTTTGAGAATTTTATTCGTGCGGTTTCTGTCCGGGGGGAAAAAGAATAGAAACCGGCTATGAAGCAGCAACACCATTGTTGGCTAGCTGTGGTATGTATTTGTTACCGTTATGGTTATAATAACTCTTCATAATATCCGATGAGTTTTATATGCAAATTTAGAAATGCCCAGTCCAATATTATTGTTGTTTTTGGTATAGAAGTGGCAGAAAGCATTAGCAACTTTTAAATGAAGAAAAAAACTTTGCGAGAAGAAATTTTTATTTGGCAAAAAGACCTCCTACCCATATAGCAAGGCAATAACAACAACAAATTGCCAATTATTTATGGCCAGAAAAAAACGAAGATGTTGACGAATAAACCACCACCAAATGGATGACTGGATGTTATGGCATGGCATGGTATGAATGAATCGATATGATCTGCCTCGAACAAGGTAATTTTATATAAAACCTTAACATTTTAGAATATGCAATCCAGTATCGAAGTGTATACGGAACCAGTAACAACACAACAAAAAGAATTTAATTTAATTTTGTGAATTAGGAACTTCGGAAGACAGAAAAAATGAAAACTTTAGTAAGTGTTAACCGAACAAAAAAAATGCAATTTAAATAAAGTGACCGAGACAGTGATAATTTTATAAGCATACACAAAACAAAATATTAACAACATTCAAAAAATATGATTAAAAAATGATTATCTTTTTTTCATGTGCGCCATAAAGTGCCTGATTTTATTATCTACCTTGGCTTTGGCCTCAGCCTATTCGGCAATGCCCAAATATTATGAGGATATGGTTGAAGCGGCAAATCAAAATTATCAACGTCGTCAACGTTCTCCATACAACAACAACAATGGTTTTAGCAGCAATTACAATAATAATTTTGGCAACAACTACAACAACAATTATAAGACCTCTTCAAATTCCGACAAGGATGCTGAAGTTGTACACAGTGATAGTGACATCAAGGCTGATGGCAGCTATTTCTATGAATTTGAAACCACAAATGGCATCAAACAAGCCGAACAAGGTACACCCGATGGCACCAAACAAGGCTCCAGTTCATATATTTCACCCGAGGGTATTGAAATTAAGACTACTTATGTAGCTGATGAAACTGGTTATCATCCCGTTGGTGATCATATTCCCAAGATTCCAGACTACATTTTACGTTCCTTGGAGTATATCCGCACCCATCCGTATGTGGAGAAGGATTACTATACCGGGGAATTGAAACAGGCCTCGTTTAATAATTTCGATAAGGTTTTACCGCAACGTCGTCAATCGAATAATAATTACAACAACAATAGGTATCATTTTTAAAAATTGGTTAGAGGGCCCAAAATATAGGGCCTTGTGAATTATTAATGGCTTTTAACCAAAATTGTAAAGGGAAAAAAGTAACGAAATACGAGCTTTTAATGTAATTAATTTAAAATTTGTATTATAAAAAATAGCTTTTAATAAAAAATGCCGCAAAATGGGTATTTAAAAGAAAATTTCATCAGTAAATTATAGTTAATCGATTTTACAAGTTTCCATTAGTTATTACTTTTTGAGATTTTTATAGCCTATATTCTAGTTAGGCCAAGAAAAAATAATTTTTAAAAAATGCACGCTCTTGAGAGGCTGTTGAAAAATAATTTTAAAAATCCACGCTCTTGAGAGGCTATAGAAAAATACTTTTTAAAAATCCACACATCTTGATAGGCTATGGGAAAATATGTTTTTAAAAATCCACGCTCCTTGATAGGCTATGGAATTTTTTTAAAAATTTACGCTTCTTGATAGGAAAAATTTTTTGTAAGACCTATGGAAAATATTCGTAACCAATCTCCAATTACGATGAAAAATATTAAAACAACCAATCCAATGATAAGTATATGTAAATTGGCTTTCAGCTAATCTATTACTCGACTTTTTGTATTGAAAAGTCGAAGTCGACTTTTAATCATTGATGAAATCGAAACGTCGACTTTTCTAGTTCGACATTCGATTTTCTTCATAAATACTTATCACGAAGCCCGATTTTCCCAAAAATTGCACATTCCAAAATTTTATTTTATTTGTGAACAACAATTCATATATAATTTATGATCTGTTTCCGTAACGCAAGAATTAAAAAAAAACTTTTGTTGAGGAATGTAATGAAACAATTATCTGACCAAAAAAGGCCAACAAAGATTTAATAAAAAATGAACGCTTCAGCATTTATATAACAAAATTAAAAACAATATGAAAGTCGGGAAACTTAAAAATTAAATTACGAATACAGTAATATTTTAATATTTTTTTGGTATACTTTTTGAGTTTTGACAGCTTTTAGTCTTTTTGGAATAGATTCCACTAGTTTTTTGCAGACATCAAAACTTATTTGGCACCATTCTTTATGTAATGCGGCTTAAAGTTGGTCTTTACTAGGGCATAATCTATTTTACATTCGACGCCCAATTTCATCCCACAAATGCTCGAATACGTTTAGATCAGGGCTTTGGGCAGGTGTTTTTATGATCTTAGGACAAGTATACAATAAGCAGGATTATACTATCTATGTGTGCTTTGGGTCATTCTCTTGATAAAACTTAAAATTATCAGCAATACCCAATTTGAATGCACTTTCTTTAACGTGTGCATTCAAAATGTGGAGATACATGTTTTTATCCATTGTACCATCTAAAAAATGAAGATTTCATGTCACCGCACATTTCTTGCTTTGCCCGACCTTCATTGTGAGTATATTTCTTAGTCTTTTTCTTAATATGTTTTTAAAGTCAGTTACATGTCACTTCTGCAACGCCATATATTATTTATTTTGTTATTTATTAAGCCATTTAATAAATGCATATAAAGTATTTAAAAACATTCCGCCAAAATATTTAAAACCATTGAGAAAGTTGTTAAAATAGTTTGCCCGACTTTCGATGTGAGCCACTGTATATCAAGTGTTCAATGGCAAAAATTGCCAAATAATTTATATTTATAAATATATTGAAGTTCCCTGCCTCTAAAACTTATAAATATATGATGTAACAGCCATGGTTAAATATTGAGAGCAATGCTCAGCTTTAGAAAATATTGTTTGTATTTTATTGTATTTTCTAAGACTTTTAGAGAATTCTCAAACAGAGCGTTCTCCAAAAGTACTTAGGCTTGACGTTGTGGATGTAACAAAATTGGGGAAGAAGGGTTTTTGTTTAGTGGAGTGATACATGACTCCCTGGGACAATATCCCAAGCAAAAAAACTAAGAGAACTGATGAGGATTTGTGGCGAAATCCGAAACTATAGTCTTCTCTGCCTTTCCCGAAAGTAATCAATGTGACCATAACCCACTTTAAAAATAAAAATCCTGTTGTTTTTATTTTTTAAAACAACAAGAAAGGGATCAAGCTGGCTTACATAAAAAATGTTTGTTAACACTAGAACGCCGAAGGCAGTCATTTTGACCGCTTTCCAATTTCAAGTACAAAAGCAACTGTGCATTTAATGTCACTTTTTTTTAAATTTGGTGACTTTTTGTACGTCATAGAATTACGTTTATTATAAAAAATTCATCAAATTTTAAAAAAAAGTGCCATTAAATGCACAGTTGCTTTTGTACTTGAAATTGGAAAGCGGTCAAAATGACTGCCTTCGGCGTTCTAGTGTTAAATTTATTGAAAATATGCCAATCGACATACATAACATTTTATGGAATTTATTTTTCATATTATTAAAAATTTTAGATGGGTTCCAAATTAAAAAGGTTGCCATCATGAAATTCTCAAATGAGACTACCTTCTGTAATTATGTCATGATTGGCCACAAGTCCTAAGTTTTAGAGGCAGGGAACTTCAAAATATTTAAAAATATAAATCATTTAGCAATTTCTGCCACATGTGGCATTGAAATCGAAAGTCGGGCAAACTATTTTAACAACTTTATCAATGATTTTAAATATCATGCCATGACAATTGGTTAATACATTAAATATTTTTAGAACATAAATTCAAGTCCAGTGAGTGTTTGACATATATGATACCTGTGGAAGTTATTGAATATTAAGTATGGGGTAGTTTTAAGTAACTTTACGCGAACAAAATAGTTCTGTCTGTTTACTCGATATTTGGTAATAATTGTTACCAAATGTTACTAAATGTTGTCTGTTTACACAAAAATCCAGTAAAAGAGAGTCAAGTGAGAGAGCAAGTTTTACAGTTGAGCAACAACAAACTTATTGGAGTTTACTGAAAGAATTTTATTCAGTAAGATTTTGCAAACTCAGCATTTTTTGATCAGCTGTTTTATGACCAAAAACAAAAATTATTCCAAACATTTTTTTAATTTGCAAAGATCAATTTGAAGTTAAGTTGTATAAAAATTGCAAAAAATTGAAGAAAATTTGTAAGTAATGCAAAATTTCATTAAATTAGAAATTCCTTATATATTTTTATGCAAGTTCCAGATAGAGGGCAATGTATGCAGGAAGCTTAAATATTCCCGGGGAACATACCAAATCAATTTTTCTTTTATTGTTCATTTTATTTTTAATATTAAATGCAATACAAATAATTGTGTTCGTCCTTCGTATGTTGTTTATTTTGGCGTAAATCAAATGTTTTTTTGAAACAGCTGTTTATTTGCTAAATCTTACTAAATGCTGTCTGTTTACTTTTCTCAGTAAAAGAGCAAAAGAGACTAAAAACGGCTTACTTTCTGAACTAGAAAAGTAACCAGACACACCTAATAATTACTGGAAAAGTAACCAGACACACCTAATATCAACTGCATTCAAACGCAGCGTTAAAGATATTTAAAAATCTGAACGATATTTTTTTATATTAATGTAATTGTTGACATCTGCAAAAAATGTAATAAGAACATAGTAAAGATCATGCTTCGGAATTGTTCTCTGAAAAATCTCATTTCTTTTTTATCCACAAGGCTCGAATTATATTCCCAATATTTCCCGTTATTCTGGGTGTAGTTTTTCCATTATAATGTATTAAGGCTCATTTGTTTCGAAATTTTGTTCACTTCCCGATAGCATAAAGTAATTTTGAATTATTTTTATGATAATTGAGCAAATTGACAAATAGGTAAAATGATGCTTTTTTGCCAATAGTCTACACGAGTTTCCAATTGTCGGCATGTTATGTTCCAAGAGTCGGCAAGACGTATTGTAATTGAAGAAAAATTGTATAGTTGACTGATACCTTTCTTTATTTATTGAGCCAAAAAAGTAAAACTAATTAATTTATTTTATGAAAATATTACAATTATAAATTTTGCTACCGACTTTGGTAAACAGTTATTCAATACTCGGCATGTCTTATACACTTACTTTATAGGTTAAAAATGTTTGAAAATAAAACCATGCCTAATATTGTGCAAACCAACATAAAATTATTTTTTTATAAATGAATCGGCTTTTAGAATACTTACTTAACATTTTTCCCAATATTGAGCCAAAATGATCGAAAATGTGCTTATTTTTCACCCATATGCCGACTATAGGGAAATTGTAAACAGTAAGGAAAGTAGTAAAGTCGGACTGGGTCGACTATATGCTACCCTTCACCACTTTGGGTTTTTTTTCATATGTATTCTAAAAGACGTCGCCTTTTCGAAATTGAACGAACTTAAATATGTGATCTTTATCTATATCTAAGCCGACTAACATCAATCCCTACACATGTCATTCTGCAACCTATGCTAAATTTTGTAAATCGATTCAAAAGCAAATTTGACCCACGCTATTCGCTATGCTGCACTGTTTAAAATTTATTTATCTCAATCAAACATCCATTGATTATTTGCTGTACAATAAACATGAATTAAATTACATGAGTCGAAATAATATATGGAATCTATGCTATATCTATATCTGAACCGATTGCAATAAAACTTGTCAGAGATTAATTTATATTAACTTCAGTACGTTGTGTCAATCGGCTAGCTAGGGGTATTTCGTGCAGCATTTACTTAAAATCGGACGAAAATATATATAGGAGTTGTTTGTAAATCTGATCCGATTTGAACGAAACTTTGCACACATCATTCGAGATGTAATTCAGTATGCTATACCAAAATCGAAAGATATAGGGGGCTTTGGTGCAGCACTTACATAAAATGGGACGAAAATATATATGGGAGCTATATCTAAATCTGAACCGATTTTCACGAAACTTTGCACACATTATTCTAGACTTAATTTAGTACGCTATGCCAAAAATCGTGCAAATCAAAAGATTTGCAGGGCGAATCGGGCGAAACTATATATGGGAGCTATATCTAAATCTGAACCGATTTTCCCGAAATTTAGCACACAT